AGATATATTTTCACGATGTTGCAATTCTCTATAAAAATAATAATAACAATAAAGCGGTTAAAAGTTGAAATTGCACTATATTTTTTGAACAGGTATAAAAATCAGATATTTTAGCCATTATAACAGTTTAAGCGACTGTGCTAGAACCACGGGATTCGAGGGTGCCTAACACCTTCCCTCGAGTCAACAGAATTCCTTACTTAGAATTTCTGGTTCGCAGACTTCATTTGGAAAGTCGAATATTTTCCTCGATTCGGGATTAAATTGGTGACTTGGGACACCCTAAATCTTCCGAGTGGCGACTCTGAATAAATAAATAAATCCCGTTTCGATTGTCCTTTAATTGGAAAAAACTCCCTTCTACGCCCTTTTAAGGAGGCGCGGGCGAAAAAGGAGGTGTGACAGCTCTGGCGACTCTGCTGGGGAGGTAACCCAGAACCACCAGTTCAGGGTTAGAAATTCGAGCTTGATAAATTGTTGTATTTTGGCTTTATTATCTGATATTCTCATATGATCTGTGCTTAATATGCAAAATGATGCTTTTTACTGCTTTGATATTATTTGAACTGTACATATAAACTGTGCCGAAACCTTCTCTTCTTACCTCCGGGGATGTGCTTACTGGTTAGGACTCCCTATTCTGTTAGTGTCCTACCCTAAATAAAAGAGGCTCGGAAAGTTTCTAAGCCGGCTGGCCTTTTGGTTCCCGGAAAGGAGCTCCTTCCTCAACTCGAGTTGTCCGCTCGGGTACACTATCTAGAACATATACCCAGGTTGAACCTAGAATAACTTGACTTCATGCCGGATCCCTAGTAGGAACGTTTATTTGCATCATGTTACATCTGGCTTAGGGGACTCAACACAGGGGTTGGGTCCGTCTATGACTAGCAACCTGAAATGGAAAAAGACCATCCTGCTGCATTCTGTTTGTTTTGCTCATTTATTTGCTTCAGATCTGCATGCTGACCGGTTTCTGAAATCAAGAATTTTTGAAAAATTGCAAAAAAAATATAGCAGTGTAAGGAGATAACTACTTTTTAGAAAAATAAAACCAATGTCCAAGTAGTATCAAAACCCTGTCGAAATTTTGAAAAAATGAAAAAAAAAATTATTTTTAGTTTGATTTATTTGAAAAAAAAGAGAGTCTTGTTTACAAGTTTAGTTTATGTTGGGAGAACTACGCTGGTTTGATTCTCACAGGACGTGAGATACGTAGGCAACCCTCGTCGGGTCCAACCTCCCATTTTTGTAAAAAATTAATAAATAATAAAAATGTCAAAATTTTCTTTTTTCTGTCATAGAGTCGGGTGATGCTGTTTATATCAAAAATAGCCGAATGTTCCCAAAAGGAACTCTGGAAGGCTGCCTTTGTATAAACGGCCACTTCTTATTTTTTATTTTGGTTAAATCACACATCTTTAAAATCTTCATCTCTGAAGTGCTGAAAGGTCGTGTTTAGAAATTCTTTTTTAGGAAAAATGATCATATTTTTTTTGGTCGAATAAATTTTCGCTTGTTTAAATCTTATTAATAAATGTGCAGAATGAGCACGACTCAAA